ATTATATTTTCAAAAGTTGGCACGCTTCTTTAATCTTTATTATTACACGTATCTACTACTTTCGATTTAAGTGTGTTTGTACGTTTGTCGTTTGTTTAGAATGAATGAATTAGAAAAAAAAAAAAATTCCTTCGATCCAATCAAAAAAAAAAAATTTCTTTAATAACGTGAATGAGATCACGACGAACGTTACCGTTATTATTATTATTATTATTAATAAAAATTCATTTTGAATTTTTTTTTTTTCTATTAAAAGTTTTAAATATTTTTGTTAACCGTTTAAAATTTTAGGGTAGGGGACCTTTTGTACGAAAGCCATTAAACCAGTAAAAAAAAATAATTATAAAATATATACAAACGGTGACGAAGTTTAAAAAAGAGAAAACAAATATGGCGTCTTTTCAAGTACAGTTAAGAGATTTATCACGTAAAATCTAAAAATGTTTGTTTGAAAAAAGCGTCAAAGGGTAAAAAAGAGAAAAAAGAGAACAAATTTTATTAAAGATTAAAAAAATTTTCTTTTAACAAAATTAAAATCGATTGGAAAATTGTTTTTTTTTTTTTAAACATTTTCGTGACGTCACCAAAAAACAAAAATTTTCAACGGAAATTTTTTTTATACTTTTCATCATCATTTAATAATTATCAATATAAAAAAAAAAACGTCATCAAAGTTTTATTTTTTTGTAATTGAAAATGATAATTAATGACGTAATAAATTCAAATTCAAATTTTAAAAAAAAGAACGACCGTTAAATAATTAACCGTTAATTAGCCGTTAAAATTCGCAGATGTTTAACTTTTGTACGTTCATTATCTTTTTATTTATTGTTTTTACTCTGTGACTTTTTTTGTTTTTACTTTTTAACGACGATAAACAAAAACATTGTTGCCAAATCGTTTTTACTTTTATTTTATTTACTTTATGAAATTAAAATAATTAAAAATCCGTTAAAAAATTTTTAAAACGACGGTAAACATTAGTTTTTTTTTTTTTGGAAAATGTGGAAATTGTGGAAAATCGACAAAAATGAAACATGAATTTATTAATAATAATAATAATAATAATAATAATAATAATAATATTTTCTTATGATTGTTAAAAAGGTTTTTTTTGTAGGAAAAGCTTTGAAAATTTTGAAAAAAAAAAAAAAAAAAAAACTTTCATCCTTTTAAAGCCATTGTATTCATTCTCTATGATCTCCACTCTCTCTCACTCTCACTCTCTCGTATCTTTTATTGTCACCGAACGTTTCACGTTCAACTTAATCATGTATTTTACGAAAAAAAAAATCTTTTTTTTTTTTTTCTTCTTTTCTGTCATCGCCCTATATAATCATTATTTTTATAACGTTTTCGATTAAGCGTTTGATTTCTATTCAATTTTTGACGCGATCAAGTTTTTGAATCTGACGTTCCATTTCTAATTTCATCTTGAAAAAGGGAATTGCTTTTGACGTAAATCATAAAGAGCAAAAAAACCTCATCATCATCATCATTATCATCATCATCTTTCTTTTTTTACTTATAATGCGTTCGTATTTAACCTCAATTACTATTATTATTATTATTATTTTACGTTCCACCTTACACACACAAAAAAAAAGTGGGCGAACGAACGAACAAACGAACGAACGCGTGAAAAAAATTATTATTATTATTATTACGAACGCGTCGTTCTATAAGTAATTAATCCTTTTTTGTCAAAGGATGAGAATAAAAGGAGGATAAAAAATTTGTTTTATTTAAAAAAAAGAAAATGAGAATCGTTCCCTTCGATTGTTTTCTTATATTTTTTTCCAAAATTACAAAAACAAAATCACGATTAATAATAATAATAATAATGGAAAAAAGGGATGATGAAAAGTATTATTATTATTATTATTTGTTTTTTTAATGATGGATGAATGTTAAAAACAAAGGAATGAGAAAAACATTAATAAAAGAACGTTTTCATTAGCAAAATAACGAGTTGAATTATTATTAAAAAAAG